TTTGTAGCCTTCTTAACACTACTCCATTTGTAACTCGTAGGGTCCATGTCCATGGTATTTTCGAAATCCTTCTATAGCACCCAATCTCAAATGATTCCAACTTTATATTATCCACTTTTAGTGCCCAACTTTCCATTCCATACAATAAAGTCGAGAACACGTAGCATCTTAAGGCTCATATCCTCAGCTCCAGAAGAAGGTCTCGATTAACAAACATTGTTTTCATTTTTATAGATGCTTGTCTTGCAATTTCAATGCGTGTCCTCATTTCTCTACCTTGTTCATTGTTTTCATTTACCCAGTTTCCCAGAAATTTGTAGTTATTTACTCTTTCTACTTGTTTTCCCTCGATATCTAGCCTTCCTACTGTATGTTGCTTAGAAATAATCATGCACTTGATTTTCTTAACCTTTAAAATAGCTTCGCTGTACATATTGAATAACAATGAGGACAGCATGCAACCCTGTCAACATCTCTTTGGATTTCTATAGTTTCTGTATCGATATTGTCGATTCTAACCTTTGCTATTTGATTCCAGTACATATTGACAATAACCCGTATCTCTCGACTATCCACATTCTTTTCTTTTAAAAGTTTTACGAGTTTCCGAAGTCGTACTCTGTCCAAATCCTTTTGATAATCTATAAAGCAGACATAGAGATCCTGGTTCATACCTAGTCGTCTTTGCGCGGGAACGTTAAAAGCGAACAGAGCCTCTCTCGTTCCTAATCGTCCTCTGAATCCAAACTGGGTGTCATCTATATCTTCTTTTACTTTTTGTATAGTCTTCCATGTATTATTTTGAGAAATATCTTAAGTGTGTGGCTTATTAAGGAAATTGGTCTGTACCGGAGCATTCTGTCGCATGTAGTTACTTTTGTAGTGCTACAAACTTGTAAAGCAACCAATCTTCGGGTATTACTCCTGTTGAACAAATCTACAAGTGTATGCAGTATTTCTTCGTCAATGCATTTAATTAGCTCAGTGGGTATCTGATCTGGGTCTACTGATTTTGTGGTCTTTGCATTTCTAATTGTTTGTTTTAATTCGCACATAATATTTTTCGGTCCTGTTTGTTCCTGTGGTTCTTCCTGTATCATTCTATCATCGTCGAATAGTTTCATTAGGTATTCTTGTCCAAATCTTAGTTTATATTTGATGTCTACAATGAGTTTACCATTATCATCTTTGAGTATCCCTTAGTGTGCTCGATTTTTGGTATTTGTTAGTTCTTTTCCTTTTCCCTGTCGGATCTTGGTTTCCGGATTCCATGATCAGTGACGGTTTGACTTTTTTGCGTATTTGCCATGATGAATGACTAGGGATATTCTGTTGAACCTTTAATGCAGTGGTTTCCCCTTGCCTTCTGCATTTTTCTGCCATTGACCAATTTATTGGTTCTTCCGCCTTTGGAGTCGATTTCTCAGCTCTTATACTTGATTATACTGGCAATCACTCGGTCCCTATCTGCGTTAACCAGTAACATTGATATTTTCCACCTTCTACCACGTGAAGGTCCTTCATCCCGATTAAGACCTTTCGGCATTTCCTATTCATCCCGATTAAGACCTTTCGGCATTTCCTATTCTCGCCAGAGCTTTAGAGGGTAGTTTAACATGAAATCCAAAAGTGATATCTCACCCTAAATATATATGGCAGGACTTCAAAATACAAGTGGTTCAGGATCGTATCTTAAATATCTGCCAATGGTGCATTTTAAAAACAACTTAATTTATAAAATATGATACATATTGGAAAGATCTTTTGATATCAGTCGTATTATATAAAGAATTTTGTTTTTGTTTTTTTTTTTGTGCAAATCAACTCCAATGTGTATCTTCCGTTGTAATTTTGTTCTTTTTCCAAAATACATGTACATTTTCAAAATCAAAAGAATGACTATTTTCTAGAGAATGCTTCGTTATGGCTGTAATAGTAGTTTTTAATTTGTTGGTCAGCCAGCTTGCTATTTTTGGATGTGCAGCATGTAATGAATTTGTTAATCTGTTGTTGATGATATTTGTAAATATCTTGTATATGATTGACAGTAGACTGATAAGTCTGTAGTTTTTTTATATCTTCTTTGCTACCTTTCTCATGAATAAGAAGTATGTATGTATTGTTATGATATGTAAAATCGAGAAAAATATTGGTTTGCTTAAAATATTTCAAAGTTCCAAAAAATTAAAATAATTCACATAAGTAGGATAATAAACAACAAACATTTCGAAGAATGAAAGTCTTTTAATTTTGGATTACCTGTATTGAACAAAACGTAAGATATGCAATAATTATTTTCTTTGTTAAAAAATATACTTGAGTGACCCGCATAAGCTTAAGTGAAATCCTAGACAATGGCAGCGGTTTTCCAAATAAATTTGTGCAGTAATTAGGACAATAGAATAGATTTTAGAAAGATATGTTTTTGTTAGTTCATAAAAATTTGTAGAAAAAGATTAGTTGTAAATAAGTTTTAGGAAATTTTATAATTGTAGGTAAAAATTTGTTTGTGTTATCGAAATGAAGAAATGGGAGATGTATGACGCGTTTTGATTGGATGACAGTGAAAAAGGTGGGATGGTTGGTTTGAGAATGAGACGTTAGTTAGTTTTGGAAGAAAAAAATGATAGTCAGTTGGTTTCCAAGGGTACAAGGCAAACGGCCGTTGTTCTCGGGTAGTTTCCCAGAGGTAGGAAGCAGTAGCAGTGAAAGTTTGTGAGTTTCGTTTGGGAGTTTCGTGTAGTTAGTGTATCTGACACAAGCTGATCCAGTAAAAGATGGTAAGTCATATTTTTCTACTTATATTCCAAGAGTCACTGTTCAGGCTAACGAGAGATTCAGTTTATCGTAAAGAGAAGATATTCCAAGAGTCATTTTTCACTCAGGCCAACGAGAGATTCAGTTTATTGAGAGGAGGAGAGGCTAGCATAATTTGAACGATTCGTGCATTTGAAGGAGATCATTAAGGACGATAAACTTCCAACAATTTGTTGTGAGATTGCTGATTACCTAGGGAGCTGCTAAGAGTAGATAGTATAGGCTACAAGGAACAAGGATTTGGACCACTCATCATCAGAGAGAGATAGTTTTGTTTTCTGCACTTTTTCTTTTATTGATAACACAATTTTTACCCTTACTTTAGAAAAGATATAAATATTTTGATTAGGAGATTTAGAATAATAATTGGGATTTTGAGATTTTATTTAATATTGTTTGTACCATTAATTTTGAAGGTTCACGTACGTAGAACAAAATTTTGAGAGTCATTATATGAGATATTGTTTATTGAAAACATTTGAGTGTGAATTTTATTTCATTATTTTTTACTTCAATATATAGTGTTATATCGTATATGTTTTTTTTTATTATTCCGGTATTCTTTGGACCTTACCTTTCACATGTAATGCATAGATATTGAAGCACGAATATAACCTGAGATAAGAGAATTAAAAAGTGTGATAGAATCATAGTCATATCATTTAAATAATTTTAATTAATTAATTAATTAATTAGCTAATTAATTGCTTGGCGCACTAAGACTTTAAATATCACAATAGTACGTATGTAAGCTGTATCCAGTGGTCTGGTATGCATTTTGATCTTAGGAAGTTGGTAATATACCTGCTAATAATTTCCAGGTTTTTTTGCCAGCGTATTTAAGCAGTTCCACTGTTATGCCATCCATTCCAACTATTTTGCCGCTTTTCATTTTTGTAATTGTCAATTTTATTTTTTCTGGAAGGACTTCTGATACATCATCTTGGTTACTGGTTGCTTATTCGAGAGTTTCAGTGCCTTTATATAGTTTGCTGTAGAATTCTATTATATATAATAAAAAAATATTGCTCGTGATGACTGTATTTTGTAGGTGCCAACTAAAAAAATCACTATTTACACAGCCCTACTTTAACTGAATATATTAACCCTAGAACCACAAAGTGAGATTGGTGGAACGATTTTCACAAGGGGGGGCCACCGGCGACCCGAAAATATTTTTCAAAATAAAAAAATTTTGAATCTTTTATAAACTTTACCAAATTTACCAAATAATTCGATTTCTAATCAGAAAATTTATTATTAGATAACAATAAGCAAAACTAGTATACAGTGAGTCAAAATATAAAAGTACTTATACTTGACACATTATTTACAATCTCTAAATTGGTGTTTTTCATACATATGTTTTTCAAAGTAAACACAAATATGGCCTCCTTCTTATCGTTACATCTTGGGCACAAATATCCCAAATAATTACAAATATGTTCTCTTAAAATTTTCGGAAGAATTTTTTTGTGGCTTCGCTACCTCAACCGGGAAGATAAAGACCGATATATTTTTTTTAATTATAGGTTGTGTAAACCAAACATAATTATTTCGATCCAACACTTCGGAGCAATTGTCTTCTAAATATTGGTTCATGGCGTTTTGATAGAAATCAACATCATCCTGTTTTTAAAATTCTGCCAAATCAAATATATATTCAAAACTGTCGTCTGGTAGTACATCATCTTCATCTTCACCTTCATCTAAAGAACATTTTCCTTTACATATGAAATTTTCAAGATCATTTTCTTGTGTAGCCACATCATGAGTCCGACAGCGATCTGTTTGCAAAGTATTTCAGTTTCATATCTAGAATTTGCTGATATATATTTACCTCCTACACCTAGTAAAGTCATCCACGATAAATCTTGCAGTTATTTACCATCATCTCCATTGCATATTTGTAAGCATACTTCTTCGCCTTTACCCATATACGTGACAATTTCTCTAATGATTTTATCATGTCCTGCCGTTTTTCCATTTTTTATTTTCTTTAAAATGCCTAATGGCGGGAACGAAGAAGAAGTATACTCTAGGTATAGGCCTACTCGTATATCGTAGGTCCAATAATAGAGGACTACTCTGCTATACTAAATTGTACTATAGTATTAAGGTAGATTAGTATTAGTAAATTACAATTTATTATTATGTGTTAACGCTCTTTTTTTCTATTGCAGGTTAAAACATCCAAATATCGTGCAACTTTTAGAGACCTTTGAAGATAAATCCAAGGTGTACCTAATTATGGAATTGTAAGTACAGTTAATTTTAGGTCATTCTTTCAATATATTATATGAAAACAGTTCTACAGTTAGAGTACAATCTGCATGTTCAATTTACTTGGTGGGATGAATGTTGTCATATTTGAACACTCTTTTTTTCAGTTTTTGAAACAAACATTGTCTTTCTAACCTTCATTTTGGCCGATCGATTTTCCATCTCTCTGAATTTGTTCATTTTTTTATGATATTTTAAAATAGTCCTGATAGACAAATACATGTATTATTTGTGTATTTACTTCACATTTTGCATTAATCATCTTCATATATTGAAAATTTGTCATGTCTCAAAAAATCAATTTGTTTAGTGAATGCCTTTTTTATTTGAGGAGTATTTTTATTCCAATTTTAGTATGTACTTTTTCTCTTATCTTTTTTAACACACTTAGTTTTATGTTTTTATATTTATATTGTTTATAGACAAAAAATATTATATGAAACATATTGAATGTTTCATATAATTACAAAGTTTACTTACAGGGTTACTGGTGGAGAACTCTTTGACAGAATTGTAGAGAAAGGTTCCTATACAGAAAAAGATGCGGCTGATTTAATAAGACAAGTTTTGGAAGCAGTAGACTATATGCACGAGCAAGGAGTTGTACATCGTGATCTTAAGGTATTTATATATTTGTCATTATTGAGAAAGAAAAACTCTACATTCGAATTGCGATAAACTCGGTTTCATCGTTCTTGGCGTGTGCCTGAAATAAGCTACTACGGAATTTTTAATATTCGTCTCTCTCTGATACACAGATGCGTAATTCAATTGTGCGAGTCACGTTCGTCATGGTAAAGTGCGATGAGAAGGGAATGAAGAGACCACTCACGTCTCCCAGTATTGTAGCAATAACACCGATGCGTTTGGCCGACACGGTGTTGGTGATAAGTTCGGCCTCTTTACGAATACAGATAGCTGGCAGTGACGTGTTTTTTTTAACGTTACCTACCCTGATCTGTGCAGGTTTGAAGTAGCTGATGAAATAGTTTTTATAAGTAAACAGTTTTTGATTAGTTAATAGTTTGAGCTCTTACTGTGTGGAATTCCATTACATAAAATAATACTCTCGACACCTTAAAAATTCCAGTTTATTATAAATGAACTCTCTCTCTTCCGATACTCATTGCAATAATGACTTGATATTTTATGTCGTTTTAGTCGATTTTAGTCAGTCATTGTTGGAATTTTTTCCGAACAGTTTTACTTATTATTTTTTGTTGTGAATAACTAATTGTTCTATTTAATAAAAAAAAATGCCGGGAAAAACGATAACAGGAGAAATGCGACAATGTGTAGTTCATTTATTGGAGTATTTTAAAAAAGAAAAAGAAAACAACGGACCTTTGCTTTCGTTATCATCGGTACATGAACGAGTAGCGGACGCTTTGAAAATCAGTCTTCGCACAGTGACAAGAATAAAGAGTGAATACAAGACAGGGGCGGCTCTTACTACACCAGGAAAGTCACGTAATGTACAAAAAAAAGACTAATGATGTCAGCGATACTATAAAAGGAGAGATTAGAAATGTACTGTATGGCATGAAAGCAAAAGGAGAGCACGTTACAATTAAAGTTCTAAATACACAATTAAGAAACAAGCATCTCTATGACGGTTCTGATACAAGTTTGTGGCGTCTTATGAAAAATTGTGGGTTTTCATACAAACTAGAAAATAGTAGACGAGTGCTATGTGAGAAACCATGTATTGTCTCTGTAGAAACGACTATATTTTTTAAGGCATTATATGAGAAATTTTTTAAGTCCAAGCCCACTTCAGTTCGTTTTTTTAGATGAAACATGGATATTCCTAAAAGGGGCATATAATCGTACTTGGCAAGATGACTGTGTGAGAAGCATCAGAAAAGGACACGAAAATACAGGTAAACGCTTTGTTGTTTTACATGCCGAAAGTAGGCAAGGAATTCTTAAAGATGCTGGATTACTGTTTTCTACGAAATCAAAGAGTGCAGACTATCATGATTCTATGGATAAAGAGTCTTTTAAAAAGTGGGTCTCCGAAAAGCTGATACCAATGTTGGAGGAACCATCTCTAATTATTATGGATAATGACTCATACGATAGCTCTTTAATAGAAAAGTTACCGAATGCCAGTTGGAAAAAATCGGACTTACAACAATGGTTACGAGCGAAAAAAATAATTTTTGACTACGATTCGGGCAAGACAGAGCTATTGAGTCTTTGTCGCCAGAATAAACCACAAAATACCAGGTACGTTGTAGACGAGCTACTTCAAGAACATGAGCATCAGGTTTCGAGATTGCCTCTATATCACTGTCAATATAATCCGATTGAGTTGGTCTGGGGCATTTCTAAACAATACTATGATCGTTATATTGGAGAACATGGACGTGGAGATGAAACAGTGAAAAAAGTTTGGGGCGATGGGTCACATATGATGAAAATGAAAGTAGGATTATCATCGATTTGGCGGAAGATTCCAATGATGAAGACAGTTCCAGTGAAGACGCTGACTGATTAGCTAATTAATCAAGGTCAGTACGTTGTAACAGTTCAGAATTGTGCTACAGTGCTTAAAACTTAAAAAATCTGTATCATTTTTTAATTAAAGTGGGTTAAATAATTAACACTTTTTTGGGTATATTTCAAAATCCTTTTAAAATGTACTTTTCGTTATATCCTGTCCTATTGTACTGCAAGCTAGAAAAATCCTTCTTCGCAATTTATACGTATATTCCGTTATTAGAAATTTAATGAAAAATAATTTATAATTTTCTTTTATAACTATTATTTTGTTTGACATGCTACATTTTGCTCCGCCATTCGAGGAGGTAAACGAATCGAGCTTAGACAAGGAAAGACAGATGAAACAACTTATTGCAAGTATTTTTACACGCACACGCCAAGAACGATGAAAACGACTATACTAAGTTTTTGATTAACACGTTTTTTTTCTTTTCTTTTCAGACAGTTTCTTTAATCTAGTTTTTATTTTTCACGTCTTAGTAAGACATAATAGAGTTTTTTTTTATAATGTGTACTTATCATCAATATGTTAAAAATGACCCGTATGTTCGCAGTCCACTACGTTATATATTATGTATGTAAATTAGTATTCACACCAATCATGGAGTTATCGTAGTATTTATATTTGTGGAATTTTCCCGACAACATGGTTGTTCTATAAATGAAACGGTTTGTCATTGTGGTTAAACACGCGGGTTTACTACAACAAACATTTTTTACAATAAATATACACATTGTATAAGGTTAATAATAAAACATTTATATTTCACATACAAGGTACGTGCGAAAAGTAAGCATAAGTCATCTTAGGAGTCGAAAAATAAATATTCGTAAATTTGGATCTAATGTTCTGAAACTGTTTTCTTGTTGAATTTATACTAACCCAGCCATCTTCCAATACGGGTTTTTTGGGTACTACATACCTAAAACTCAGAGCTACAGCCAGAAATAAGCAAATCAGAAATAAAGAAGGCATTGAAAGAAATAAAAAACAAAAAATTGCCTGTAAAAGATGAAATAACTGCAGAGATGCTGAAATATGGTAGAAAAGTGGTAATTAATACTCTACATTCTTATATACAGAGTGGCCCAAAAGTCTGGAAACGGCTAATTATCTCGTAAAATGCTAATCATAATTGTACAACATTTGAGGTACACCTATTTTTGGATACGGAGATTCCATATTTGATATTTACAATGTTGTCAGATTTGCCGTTTTTCTTATATTATTAGTAACTTTGTTTTTTCAAATACATCATCCTGTATATTCAGTCATTATTGGAATCTCATATTCAATACGAGTTCAACCATATGTAACACTTATGATTTTATGTAATCTGGAAGGTCATAAATACATAAAACCGAAGTCTTGCAACGCCTAAATTGTTTCAATAAATTTTTTAATACTATTTTCAAATACATTAAAACGTAACAATTGATGGTATAGAACATTTTTTACATAGTGGTTACATTGTTAAGTGTTCAAAATGTGCTCAATTTGTGAGTTGACAGCACCCTAATCGATGGTAGAAGGCGTCTACCATATTTCTCCATGATTGTCTAGAAATTATTCGAGATTCATTGATAATTCGTTGCCTTAGCTCTCCAAGACTTGCTGGTTAAGTTTTGTAAACTGAATTTTTCAAGTATCCCTAATAAAAATAATCTTTAGGATTGAAATCGGGTGAACGTGGAGGCCATTCAATTCTACCTTGTATACCAATTTATCGTCCAGGAAATATCTCATCTAAATAACGCCGAACATTTACACCAACTATCTGACGTTAAATTTCTTTCAACAAAAAATGACCCAATTGAATAAGTAACTACTATATCTGACCATACATTTAATTTTTGTGGTCTTTGAGTATGGTTTTCACGCATTCAGTCTTCAGTGTGAATTTACGTCACACCATTACCTTAAATTGTGTCGATTACACTTCCACACAGTGTAAAAGTTGCTTCATCGGAAAAACATTCTGTTAACGAAATTTTAATAATTTTCAATTTTATCCATCATTACCTCAGTAAAATTCTTGCAATAAGTTAATTTTGTATGATTTAAATTTATTTTTACGTAATAAACGTAAGACTGAAGAATGACCTACATCATGTACTTGTGCAACCCTGCCTGGGGATGTATATGGATCTTCAACCAAACTTTGCTTATATCTGAAGTTTTGTTGTCATTGATAACTCGTTTCGGTCAACCTGATCGGTATCTATCTTTTACTTCTCCAGATTCCTCAAATCGCCTTACAGTTTTTTGTACCGTCGTCTTATGAATAGGAGAACGGCATTTTAGAGAAGCAATTTAAATTGCAGAACTTTTTGAACCACAACTACTGTCCATTTTAGTTCATAATTTAAATGGTGAACAAATGTCAAAATCACAGCATTTTCCATTTAAATATTTAAATTTATTAAAATCTACATATTTTGCACTGTTTTATGTATTTAAGATCTTTCAGACTACATAAAATCAATTGAACATATGGTTGAACTCGTATTGAATAGCTGAACTCGTGTGAAATTCACACTGAATGCGTGAAAACCATACTCAAAGACCACAAAAATTAAATGTATGGTCAGTTATAGTAGGTACTTATTTAATTGGGCCATTTTTGATCGAAAGAAATTTAACGTCAGATAGTTGGTGTAAATGTTCGGCTTTATTTAGATGAGATATTTCCCGGGCGATAAATTGGTAGACAAGGTAGAATTAAATGGCCTCCACGTTCACCCGATCTCAATCCTAAAGATTATTTTTATTAGAGGTACTTGAAAAATTCAGTTTACAAAACTTAACCAGCAAGTCTTGTATAGCTAAGGCAATGAATTATCGATGAATCTCGAATAATTTCTAGACAATCATGGAGAAATATGGTAGGCGCATTCTACCATCGATTAGATTGCTGTCAACTCACAAATGGAGCACACTTAATAACGTAACTATTATGTTAAAAAATATTCTAAACTATCAATTGTTACGTTTTAATGTATTTGAAAATAGTTAGTATTAAAAAATGTATTGAAACAATTTAGGCGTTGCCAAACTTGTTTTATGTATTTAAGACCTTCCAGGCTAGATAAAATCATAAGTGTTACATATGGTTGAACTAGTATTTAATAGGAGATTCCAATAATGACTGAATATACAGGGTGATGCATTTGAAAAACCAAAGTTACTAGTAATATAAGAGAAACTGAAAATCTGGCAACATTGCAAATACCAAATATGGAATCTCCGCATCCCAAAATAGGCGTATCTCAAATTTTGTATAATTATGTCTAGTAATTTACGAGATAATTAGCCGTTTCCAGACTTTTGGGCCACTCTGTTTATATAAGGTCCATGAAATTAGACCTTTCTCAAAGACATAAAGAATATTTATGTTTACATGACTTTATTATATCACTAAAAGGCTTCCAAGAAAAGAATTAAACCAGATAGAAGTTCTAGGTACATGTAATTGGGACCGTTCAGTAACATATAATTATTCTCACTCTTTAATATTTTGTATTGTATTGGTATTTGATATTTTGGAAAATACGCTTGACAATTAATTGCTATTTTAAAAATCCATTTTGTTAAACTTATCAATATTTAGAACTTAATAATTCTTTTGTACAATAAAAATAGTTTGTTTGTTCGGGTAAAACGTATTACGAAGATATTATTGTTTTTATATGTTCAAAATTATTGAAAAGTAAAAAATCGCCTTTATTCAGTATACATAATACATTTTAGGTGTATGTGCGCGCCACTGTCGTTTAGTTAAAATTTCAGTATCCAATCACCAACTTCAAAGGCGGTTACAATTTCGACATGCCTCATAATATGCAAGTTAGATGCCTTCCCCTAATGACGGAACCTTTACCAGTATTAAAATCCACGAACACCATTCTCGCAAAACACGAAAAAAAGCAACAAACAACGACACGCCCCCTCACGCCGAAACCAGTGGAGGGGAAGCAAATAGAAAATATAAATATGGCCTCCGTAAAATTTTTGACTGTATAAATGAATAAACTAAACTTTCCTCGTACGTTTAATGTTGTTTTTTGTTGTTTTATTCAGATAACAGTTCTTACATAGACAAATAGTCATTTTTGGACTCCACATTGATGAACGGGTTAATAAATAATGAGTTACGTTTAAATAATTAATGGATCGTTAGTTCCAGTAATGTTATTGATTTATATTAATATTTCAGCCGGAGAATTTGCTTTACTACAGCCCAGATGAAGACAGTAAAATAATGATTAGTGATTTTGGGTTATCTAAAATGGAGGATTCTGGCATAATGGCTACGGCATGTGGAACTCCAGGCTATGTTGGTGAGTCTGTTTAATTTTCAAGTAAATGTTAGTGTGCTTCATTAACCAACAGTATTTCATTGTGTATTCGTTAATCATGCAGTTATTAACCTCCTCAGTCACAGGAAATTTTTTGTTTTTTAATTTCTATATCGTGGGCTTAAAGTTAAAACTGACTCAAGTCTAAAACATCAATTTTCATTAAATACACTTTTAAGCTGACCCGAAATTAATAATTTATAATTTGCAAAAATATGATTGTTTAATATAAGTTTAATTTATACTGTTATTTGTTTTATAATTTGATCTTTTAATTTAACCGTTATAGTCCTTTTCCATCATATTGATAGCACATTATGTATGCAAATCCTCAACAGGTCAAAAAACCATAGGCGTCACCCTATACTTGTTTTGAAGTAAATAAAAAAAAATTAATATTTTAAGATGCCGTTAACAAGTCATTATATTTTAAAAAATCTTCTGTAAAATATGTGTCCACTAATCTCACTATACTTTTTTTGTGCGTAAAAAACGTCGGTATATATGCCACACGATTATTGTTAATTATACACGGGTGATTAACGAGAGAATTCAATGTTTCACGAAATAAATTAATGTAAACAGTAATTTAAAGGTGATTATTGTTTTCTATACAAGTTATCGCCTGACACAAAAAGAATACCTTCTTTGAACGATTACCTGGAATTACTGATAAGGCTTCACTAATGAAAGTTTAAGTAATTTTTATGCCACATTACAGCTTATGCCAATAATATAAATTAGAAATTGTTTGCATCTTCCATTTAGTTTGTAGATGTAGATTGTTCGTGTCTTACCTACCTACGTTTTTGGTGTCAATATTTAGTTATTTGCATTTAAAAATGACGTCGACAACAGGTTTTATCCCGGTTAAGTGTAGTTTTAAGGGTGCCTTCAGTCTAAGAGAGAAAAATATAATATTAAATGTACACGATGCACTTGTACATCAACGTCCTTTAAGTAATGTTCGTGAAATCGTTAACATGTGTTCAAATATGACAGGGGTTGGAGAAGCAACGATTTATGGATTCCTAAAAGAAAGAAAAGGAGGAACTGTTTCATCTCCCAAGAAGAGTGGAGGGAGTAAATCATTGGAAATTGAAGAAATACATAAAAACATGAAAAGACGCAGCGTCCACTCATTTTTTTTTAACAAAGAATTTTCAACATTGGACAAAATCCAAACATTAATTAGAGAAAACGAAGAGTTACCAATCATAAGCAACAAGAAATTATGGGGACTATTGAGAGAGATGGGATTTCGTTGGCAAAAGAATAGAAGAAAATCCGTTTTAATTGAAAAAGATTACATTGTATGTTGGAGACGAGATTATCTAAGAACTATTAAAAAGTACCGAGAAGAAGGGAAAACAATTTTTTATTTGGAGAAGACTTGGATAAATGAAAGTCATACTGTACCATATCTATGGGTTGATACAAATGTGAAAAGTTCCCGTCAGGCATGCATCGAAGGTGTATCTACTGGAATAAACAATATTCCCGTTGGAAAAGTACGCAGACTCATAATAACCCATATTGGAAACGAATACGGTTTTGACAATGGTGGATTATTAAGTTTTGCCTCAAAATCAACCAAAGATTACCACGAGGAAATGACTGCTGACGTTTTTGAAGAATATTTTGAGCAAATGTTGGATTTCATTCCAAAAAATTCTGTCATAGTCATGGAAAATGCTAGTTACCATTCAAGACTAGCAGAAAAATTGCCAACAACGGCATGGAAAAAAGGAGAGATAATCGAATGGTTGGATAAACACGCAATTGAGTACAAGGAGAATTCGACAAAAAAGGAATTATTACCTATTGTAAGGCAACATAAAGCAGCTTATAAAAAATATATAATTGATGAAATGGCATTAAACCGTGATGTAATTATTTTACGTTTACCCCCATACCACTGATCTGAATCCGATAGAAAATATATGGTCTCAAGTAAAGGGTGAAGTCTGACGCAACAACAAAACTTTTAAATTAGAAGACTTACAACAATTATTAGAACATTCCTTGTCAAAAGTAACTCCAGAAAATTGGAAAAATGCTGTTAGTCATGCTCACAAGGAAGAAAATAAAATGTGGAATTTGGATAATATGACTGATGCAATGCTGGAACCGGTAATAATTAACATTGGAGTTGAAGATTCCTTAGATTCTGAAGAAAGCAGTGAATCTGAAATGGAATTTGATTAAAATAATATTCATTTTTTTACAAATCGACCCCTGTTACGGCCACAAATTATTTTATATATAACCAATAAAATAAACATCTTACATTTCTTGCAAATTCATTAGTACCAGTTAATCTCCATCACTCCGACACTGGCAACTTTTTTTAGGTATTAGTAACCGTCAAAACTATTGTATTCTATTCTGCTTCAACCTTTATACCTGGTGGTCATACTCAATTTAAAATTGTTTTCCTATATACTTCTGTAAACTTGTTGACAAATATCTATTTCAACCAGGTTGAATGTTCGAATAAATGAACTTTGATGGTACACAAGGCAAATATCGAACACAGTATTTAATCAAATCTTGCCCAAGTACTTTCGATCACAAGATCATCTTCAGGGGCATTTCGTCAGTTGTGACCTATCCAGCAGTAACAGAATGAATAAATATCTATTTGTCATTGAGTCACCCGTATCAACAGTTTAGGAATTTGCATACACAATGTGCTATCAATATGATGGAAATGGACTTTAAATAAAATAAAAAATAGCCATTGTTCTTTTCTTTTGTATACGAAGAAGGTTGCGTTTCGATTTAATTTGAGTCTCTTACCACTCCCTGACACGTGTTTCTGGGTCTACCCGTCATCAGAAGGCTCAAACCAAATCAAAACGCACCGATTACTCTGGCAATTACATGAAAATAGCTGCCAGAGTATGCAACTCTACTCGACGCAATGAGTACAAGAATGATGGTAATTTATATGGGTAAATTGATGGTGCATAGTGGGATATAATTTATTCCAGAACCGCTCTGAATGGCTTGATTAAGCTTGGGTATACAGTTTACTTTAATTGCTGTGGACGTATCTTCATCTTTCCTCACTAGACTTTCCGCTCATAACCCCCAGGCGGAGTTCACTAGCACACTAGCATTGTCATTTTAAAATATAATTCCAAAACTTTTTTCTTCTACAAAATTATTCTAAAACTAATAGTTTTTGAGATATTTGCGAAAATATTAGGAAAACATCGAATTTTTTAAATTTTTTTCATGCTTCGTTTAATAAAAACTTAAGCCCACATTTTACAACTCACGACTAGTGTAATTATCATTCGTAGTGATGTTTTCTAGCGATTTATTCAAAATACTGGGTTTATATGCTTCACACCTAACTCAAAACACATACCGCCTGGACTAACATACCATTAAATGATTGGGCATACTCATCGTAACTTCTTTTACGATCAGCGTAACCTCTCATCAGAATCTTCAATCTTCCCTGTTCGAGTGAAATGCAAAGTGTGACAAAATATCACTATTAACAACATTAATGACACCATTAATAATAGTGCCATCATTAACTGTATGTTCAAATAAAACATTAACGAAGTATAAGAATAGTTTTTTCTAATATGTGTTATGTTTGGTATATTTAGCTCCAGAAGTACTTGCTCAGAAACCATATGGTAAAGCAGTAGATGTCTGGAGCATAGGCGTAATATCCTACATTTTATTATGCGGATATCCTCCATTCTATGATGAAAACGATGCAAATTTATTTGCCCAAATTCTTAAAGGTAATTATTTTTCACTATTTTGTCATTACAATTTTAAAAAGACGATTTTCCTACTAAATCCGTCTGCAGCAAACATTGTATTTTCTATTTTGTCTATTTGTAATGTACATAACAGGGAAGAATTTTCAATAATAAAGATAAAATTTATTAATGAAAAACATTAGTAAATTTTTTTTAAACGTAAAATAGAATAATTTCTTTAATGAAAAAATATTATTTTAAAAATGGTTTGTAATCTAGTAGAGGAAATATCAAATAAAGAATGAATGTTTAATTGTGTGGTATATCAATCAGATATTTGATAAAAAAGTAGTGGTAAATATAGGAAGCAAAAAAATAGGCTAATAATAATGTCATAATAGTAATATACTGAACTGTTTTTATAAATCTAATTTATTTATGTAATCTACATAGAAACACTTAAATATTAATTTATTTACACATATATTTTATTCACACCGCTAAATTCACACATGTAAGACATTCACACCGCTTACAATTTCAATAGCCATGCGAACAATCTATTAATCGACAACTGATTTGTTTATCTAGAAGTTTGTGCCCGCTTCTTTGACCTTCGGTCGGAACGCCAACGAATTATTCGACCCTCATGTGGAAAGTTTCAATCGCAGGTATAAGAGGAAACCCGTGGGTATTACCTGCTAAGGCTTCTAAAAAATACTTTACAGCAGAAAAATATGTGTCGGGACTGAAACTGGAACGGTGTGCTGGTATCGGCAACTGGACCCTCTTTTACAACTTCCAATTGTATAAAAATGACAAGGGACGGTTTTCTCTCCGCACCAGTAACTATGCGGAATGCAACAGACTAACACCTGGACTTCGTTGTCTTTAAAGATCTCATCCACCATACTTCGGGTAACTCTCCAATCCAATTGGCGACACTCCAACTTTGGCATGGGTAACTTTTGCACGTCGGACTCTAGTACGTGCTCTCTCAATTAAAGTAAGGCTTCAAATACATCTCGGTAGGTAGATTGGCCACGGGCAGTGTCTTTTGTTACTAGGTAAAAAAGGTAACGTGATGTATCTTGGAGTTTCAAAGCTTTCCCGGGAGCTGGCACTTGGCATTGAAGTTCTGCAACTCAACCGAACTTCCTTCGAAAGACGGATGCCAACCCTGGTGCGTCTTGGATACTGGCCGAGATGGTAAGGGGTAACACCATGTCTTGCTTTACCGGTACCTCCATAGGCACCCATGAATTCCTCAAACGTGAGGTCAGGCACATCTTGGACTTGGTTTACTTCCACTTCTTCATCTACGTCGTGGTCACCTTCGAAAGACGCCAGCCGGTTATGGTGTACTATCATCGGCTTTCCCCTCGGAATCTTGCTTATTCCGTAGATGACATCGTTGATCTTCTCAATAATGAGGTATGGACCTTCCCTAAAACTTCTGCAACTTGGGAGAATAACCTTTTCACTTCTTGGGATTATAGAGCCAGACTTTGTCGTACTTCTTAAAGCACCCCTTTTCGGCTTGCTTATGATACCATTTCTATGACTCTGGTTGGTGTCTGGCCTGTTAATTCGTTAACAGCAGATCTGTAGGCCATTGTGAAGAACGGAAGATATTGGTCCCAGTCTCGCTGATAATCGGACACCATCTTTGTCAAATACTTGCCAACTGTCTTATTCATCGGTTCTACCATACCATCCGATTGTGGATGATATGCTGTAGTTCTTGTTTTCTTCATGCCTAGTCTATCACATATTCCTTGGAATAGATTGCTTTCGAAGTTCCTTCCTTTGTCACTATGGATCTCCAAAGGCACTCCAAATCGGCTGATATATTCTTGGATCAACTTATCTGCAACGGTGGCGGCCTTCTGGTCTGGAAGTGCGTAAATCTCTAACCACTTAGTGAAGTAATCCATTACTACCAACATGTAATTGCCTTCATTTTCACTTTCTGGAAATGGCCCAGTGATGTCCAAAGTTATTCTGTCAAACGAGCTTGTCGTGTCAAGTTACGACAGGTTCATTATTGTCTTATAAGAGAAGTAAGTGTGCATCACATGGCTCCGTGAATCCTTGCATTTATTTCATTTTAAAACATGTATCTCTTTCTAATGTTTATTGATAACCTTTTAAGCCAAAAATGTCGAAGTTATATATCATAAAAGACACACAAGAAATTTCAAAATAAATATTTTTTTAGAAATTGACAAATGTTAACAATCCCTAATAAAAAAAATGCACTAAAATAATAATAATTTTGCGACGGAATTAGTAGCGAAAAATTATGCAAATACAGAAACTTTACGTATATGATTTCCAGGTGAATTCGAATTCGATTCTCCATATTGGGACGAAATAAGTGATTCTGCGAAAGATTTTATAAGGAATTTAATGTGCGTCAATGTTGAAAAAAGATATACTTGTCGTCAAGCGTTAGGTCATCCATGGTATGTTAAAATATCACTCTTAAATGTATTTTTTATTTGAAATTTCTTTCAGGATTTCCGGTAACGCTGCTAGTAATAAAAACATTCACGGAACTGTATCAGAACAACTTAAAAAGAATTTTGCAAAGTCTCGTTGGAAGGTAAGTTTTTGCATAGTGAGCAATTAACTATTTGTAGTTTAAATGACCTTATTAGTACAAACATGTGTGTTGAATAATTTAAGCCACTGTTCCGCACAGCTAACCAAAAGTGCCGTAAGTAACAATAGTAGGATGTTGAGAAAACTCTACATAAAGCTTAGAAGGATGCTGTAATTTTAAATATAAGTTATTAATTGTTTATTCTTAAAGTACATTTATGTTAAACACATATGAAAATTTTTATTGTATAATTCTAATTTTTAATGCAAAAAAAGTTGAAAATATAAAATGGTGTCGTACATGTGGCAGTCTTCCTTAGTAATGTGAATAGCTATATTTGCCGTATGTACTGCTTTACGTTTTTAATAGTTTGTTGAAAGAACACAGCATTTAGATATTTTATAATCTATTAATGTAAGAAAAATAAACTTAATATACAGTCTTAGGAATGGATTAACTTAGCACATTTTCTAAAAAATATAACCAATACTTTTACATAAGTAGAAGGAAAGTCACAATAGGTTCAGTCTTTTGGCTGAGATGTTTTTAGGCAAGTCTTTCCAAAATTGTTTTCGATTTTCTGGCAGTACTTCGTTTTGGACTTACGGCACTTTTCCGAAGTTGAGCTTAGCTATAAATCCGGGCATACAGATTCTTTGACTAGTTCGAAATCTGATTCTGATGGTTACTAAGTCTGCATTATGTGCCAAAACTGTTCGTAGAAGCAGTTCTTTAAAGAGTAGAAAGGTTTATGCAATATATTTCTGAGTATCAATAATTCGATTAGTGTGTCTAACTAATTTTTGAAAGTCTCACTTTATTTTCATTCAACTGTATCTTATATTATTTTAGCAAGCTTATCATGCAACAACGGTGATAAGACAAATGCAAAAGATGGCTTTGAGTAGTGGTAGCGGTGGGAAAAGTCCAACCCCCCAACGCAGCATGTCATCTCAGTCCGGTGGAACTCCGTGCGGAAGTCTAAATGGTGCCCAGGACAAGTAAATCCAGCTAACAATTAAGAAAAACTAGTTCACTTGCGTCTTAATACTGCGCTTTCAAAAAATTAAAGTCATGTTCTTAAAGCCTAGGGAAAAGATACTTAGATTTACTGAGCCCTTGCAAACTCTCACATTAAAATAAGTGGCTAAATGAACTTGTAGGTGTAGAGGTCTCCAAGTATATTAATATTTTTATTTAATAGCACATCTTATTGTCTACTTTTTAAATAGATAATAAGATAATGCAGAATTTGTAAGGGGCAGTAGAGTAAGTATTCAAATCCGCTGTTGTTACAATATCAGTTATGTTAAATGCATTATGTGAATTATAACTGACATTCAATCGGTGAAAGAAAATACTTACAGTTGGTTTGTTATAACCTGGGTTCCACAGTTTTAGCCCATTTTCAGATCCACGATAAGAGGTTCATCAACATCATTAGCTCGACAACCCTTTCTGGGACTGAGATTGTTCTATTGTTGTCCGCCATTCTCATCTGTTCCTTGCTTTGTTTTTCCAGTTGGTACTCTTGGGGAGTTTTCAGAGTTTTTCTGCTTTTCATATATCTTAATTTGGGCGTTCATTTTGACCTTCTCCCCACTTATTATTTTCTGTGGTATTTCGTTCTGCTACACCCGTTCAAAATTTCCTATCCAGCGCAAACATCCAATCTTTATGGGCGACGTGCAAGTACTTGGAGGGGATACGAGAAACGATCGTGCGCGAGTAGTGGAGAAATCTTGAATTTTTTACTGCACATTTCATAGATTATAGATTTCATAAATTCATATTGTCAATTGTCATATTTCATATTCGTTTTGTTTATTTACACCTCCTGTCACTAAAGAAAATGGGATTTTGGAAATGCTGTGTTATAAATTGTAAAAATACAACAAAAAATTGTCAATTTAAGTTTTATTCGTTTCCAACTTCGAAGCACAAAGCTACTACAAAGAGAAAAGTGGATTTATATCATAAAAAAGCATAAGTAACATAACCTAAATTATGCATTATTCTTGCGCCCGATTTTAAAGTCAGTTTGAAATAAATAATAAATAAAAGTTAACTTTTAAGTGTAAATTTTAGTTTCATAACACTCACTTAGAGTTCATTTTAACCCAAAAATCAAGTTTAATGTTTGAATTTTATTTTTTTGAAGTTTACAAAAATGCATCAAGTTCAAGTTTTTCTGAAGATGCATTAAGATATATTCGCTGTCCAAAAGTTTACAGGGAAAGAATTAATTGTTCAAACCAATATGATGATATCATGGGCTTAACCTGCTAATTTATGCATTAGCATTATTTATGGTAATTTATTTTTCTTAATTCTTCCACTCCACATAATTCTTCCATTCTTTTTTGACATTTGCCACTACTAAAGCTTTTCCCTTTGACTCGTGCTTGGTTGAAAAGTTATTTGGTGATTTACTTTCTCAAATCCAGTTTTTATTATTGCATCCATATTAACAGTAATGCTGTAATTCAATAATATATTTATTTGTACTTACGCTACATCAACGTTTACCTTTTAATAACATACCGACATAACCTCAATCTTACTTTTTCTTCTTATTCTTTTTTGGGGCCACGTCCTTGACAGTTATCCGGTAACCTTGATCTAACATGAAAGCGCAGTAAATTTGGCTGATTTACGACACCAGGTGTCGCTGTTCCGAACTTGCACGGTCCCTATAATGTCAGATTCTTTGTGTGCTGTGTATAATTTAAAATTGTATCTTCTCATCGCTTTTTGACAGTTACCATATCTCGGACCCATAAACAAGGACCAGTCTTATCAGGATTTTGGATATTAGGCATTTAATTTTTATTAGCAATATCTATCCTTCTTTTAACCAAAGTATGTAAAACTTTTTTAACAGTTTCAGTGTTGTAATTATGATAAAAGTTTACTTAACCAATGATGGTAAACAAAAAAAAAAACAGGAAGAAAACAACTGAATATATCAGTAAAAGTAGGAAGAGCTATTATTCCGTGTTCACATTTTGAAAAGTGTTTATAAAAACACTGCTCACAATGTACACAGGGAAAAATATTTCTTCCTCTCTGTTGATGTTTTAATGAATATTGCAGTCAGGGCTTATCCGCGTTATTCTCTTCTTGTTCTGAGTGCTTTTTTTTGTTCATAAAAACATTTTTCGAAATGTAAACATAGAAATAACCCTTTCTCTCTGCTGATCTTTTAAGTGAGTGTTGTTCGTTCTACTTTGGGATCTGTGGTGTTATCTTCTCTCTTGGTGTGCTTTCTACTCTCTATATATTTCCTTAATACACTGCCCTTATACCTTTATGCAAGAATACTTCACCAGCACTGCTCTGGTAAAATCAAGCAAATAAGGTGTTCGCCTTAAATCACCTTATTGGTTAAGCAAATTTTTATCGTGGACCTGAAGATGAGCTGAAATTACAAACCCCGAAATCGATAAAACCAATTGCGAGTAAGTATTTTTCTTTTCTTTTACATATTGAAAATGCACTCACATTTGCAAACAATTCATCATTATAACTGATATTATTATCTTGGCACTAGGTGTCTTTGCCGTTTATATCTAAAAAAACTGTAAAAGATTTATCTGTAGCTTTACCTATTTTTACCTATATTAGCTTCTAATTAACTAAAAAAGTAAATAGGGTTATTCTATAATTCAAAAATGTCCACAACGATTTAAATCCGGAAAGCACCACGGTGGATTCTAAAGAAGAAATGAGATTTTAATTAATAAAATTCACTTTTTTCAAAAAGGACTTGGATGATTTTGATTTTGGACTGTAAATTAGTTTTTTATCCCAAAAATTTTCGCCATAAAATGTTGGTTGTTTTAACTTTGCATAATAAACCCTTTAAAACCCACAAGTTATTGTTATTTCTTTTAGAAGCTGATATAGTAGTGTCAATTTTTTTAAGAAACTAAATTCCTAGACAATATCCTCCAGAAAAATCACTGTTTTTCACATATGTTGAATTATAGGGTGTCAAGCTTTTATTTGGTCTTATAAATAATTCCCCTGTGTCTTATGAGTTAGTTATTAAGTTCTGATTTTGAGATGAATTTATCTTTTGTTCTGTCTTTTCGCAAGATTCCCAGATACGTAGTTAACATAGTCTGGAACAGGGATCTTATTATTATCTATTCTGATCAATTTTTGTAGATGCATTTGGTTAATTCGCATTAATTGTAGTATTTAATCCAGAAATTGGTCTTTAGGAACGTGGTTGCATGTCATATGTGCTTGTTCCATATAATAACCGATTATTAGAAATCATTATTTCGAACTTTCTCTGCAGTTATGCTTTGTTTATGGTGTATTTTCTGAATAATATTTGTAAAAAAACTTTATACTGTGATTTCTTCAAGTGAAACATCCACTGTGGCTATTGTCTGCATAAACTTCGTTTTCTAAGCTATCCTTAAAATATAAGAACATATTTTAACTAGAATATCAGTACTTAATAAATATCATGTATCATAACTACATCAGAGCTTATTTTTGCTTCACAAATATTATTTTTGTAAGTGTAAATAGATGAGAGCTTTTATATTTAGAATTGGGCAGAGAAAATCTGCCAGTGTAGTGTAACCAAATATACATTCCAAACACGGATCTGCGAAATATTTGGCACTTGATGAGGGGTGTGAACCTAAATGTGTGAAGGGAAATGTATATTTTTATAGATTACTCTACACGATGGGTCATTATATCTCCACGTTGATTTAGGGCATTATTTTCGAATAGATTGTTCCCTCTCTCATATCTGTTGTACATAAGCAGGAAAAACAGAAGTTTTATGTTTGGAATAAATTTAAAAGCATTTCTAAATGTTCTTATATCCAAGCAGTAACAGTCCTCATCATCTTAGAATATTTCCGTTAAAATTTAGTATGATCCGCATTAAAGAAGATAATACTAATAAGCTAAGACTTCTTTCTACACAATATATCAGTTTTATTTCTTGAATACTTGATAGTTGTTTAAGAGCATGATTTTAAAACGTTTCTATTCAGTTTGTAAGAGACTTTTAAAGGAAAGACTTCCAAACAAACTAATCATGTGATGTTTCTTTTTTATGCAAAACGTACAGTATGTAATATATGTAGATGGGCCTGTTATTACGGTGCTGATCATATTTTGACACGTCAGCAACTATTTATAATACTCTTACAATGCCTTTTTCACTCCTATTTCAGAAAATATTGTTTTGTTAAAAATACATCAGAAATAGAAGATCAAGCTAAACAAATAATTTATTTTTTCCCCAAAATATACAGTGGTGAGTGCCTTATCACCCGGCTTTTTAACGTAAGAGATAGAAAACACAGTTACCTTGTGAAATAAAAGGAGATGAAACTCGTAGAGGTGGGAAATAATCGTAGAAACCTATAATTTACATTACATTACAACTATCGATAGTCTCACACCTTTAGACGTTAGCTTCGATCTAAATCACCTCGGTCATAATTATTATGTTTGACAGTTTGACATCGTATGTGTCATCGTATTTCCATTTTTTAATTTAGATAAAGTAAAAACTGATTGACCACAATAAAGCAAAAATGTGAATAAAATAATTTAATTAATAGTGATTACTTATTCTAAAGTTTTAAATTATTAACCAAGAATAATTTCTACTATGATTTGAGGAGTTTCATACACTCTTGTCACGAAATAATTAGCAATCCTTCGTGGATTAGTGGTAAGAATTCGACACTGCGATGCAGATGATTGAGTTCAAAACCTACATGAGGTTTTCTTTTTTTAATAATTTGAAATTATGCAGAGATCGCTTTGCTTTGAATCACTAAACATTTATGTCAGTCGTTACTAGTATTAGAAGTGTTTACAGTTAAACATAAAATTCTACAAAATTAAAAGAATTTTTAAATAAGTAAAAATTTTACAAAAATAAAACAATATTGTAAATAAACGTATCTACAATATGTTCAAATAAGCCTTCATTAGATTGAATTGTTGATCGTGATGGAGCCGGCCTATTTGGAAACACATTTACAAATTGTTTTCTAATCATGTTGTCTGAGAATCCATTCACATGCCAGACAACAATTTGCACTTTTTCTCGACCGTTAAAACCATTTTCACGAATTGTTTTTTTCAATAAAAATAAAAAGTTTCTGTTTACCGTGCAAAAACACTTCTCGATATGTTATTATTTGATTGCTTAAAGGCTTCTCTTCGCGCGCATCCATTCCAATGTTGTCAATTGTTTTGAAAATCATTACCTGTACAGAGGAATTGGTATTAACACTAAGAATTTAGTAATGGATTTGATATAAAACGGTCATTACAATCATAAACAGAATTATTTTGTATTTCCGTTTTATAACATTGAAATAAGAATAAATTGTAAATAATGAGTTTGTCGAAAACTTGTTACCTAATATGTATCATCATTTTTATCATTTTTTGATTGAGTAAAACAAAAATTTTATCCTAGGTGTGAATTGAACCCCAACCTTCTTGTCAATAGACCACGTGTCTAAGCATTACACCAACTCCACATATTGTTTTCGGACAGAACATACCTACCTTTAGTTTAGTCAAATATTTCAGTTTAGTTATTTTTATTATTAAATAAACTTAAAGATTTATAATTTAAAATCGTTACTAATTAATGTTTTTTACTACAGTATATCTTAATTTATTCAATCATTTATTCTAACATCTGAAATTATTAAAAAATTATATTTTCGAGGTCATCCGTATAATTATGACTGAAGTCAAATAGCCACGTCTAACGTGTAAAGGTGTGAGACTATCGATAGTGGTAATATAATGTAAATTATAAGTTTCTATCGATTATTTCCCACCTCTACGAGTTTCATCTCTTTTTATTTCACAAGGTAACTGTGTTTTCTCTTACGTTAAAAAGCCGGGTGTTAAAGCACTCATCACTTTATAGAAGCGTGTCTTTTAAACAAGTAAACATTGTATTTATATTTTAATATATACCCAAAATATTTTTTCTTTTTAAAAATATCTACTATGCTTTTGAATAAATGATGTATAGTGCATCTAATCCTAATCGAACAAACACGATAACCATTTTTCCTACAATTTCGTTTAATTCATGTTATACTCA